GCCGGAACGCATACTTCTAAGTAGGCTATGAATTTTGGATGAGGATGCGGTTCACCGTGAATGCAGGATTTGTTTGAAATGATAACTGCCGTCTAGTAGCGGGTTCGTCTGAGCTTGATATGGAAAACCGAAACCATGAATGTCGTATGAACTGACATTGCTCGATCGAGACATTTGTATTGGCGGTATACAGAAGAAGAAGAAGAAGAAATGTCGTTTTGAAAAGTCGAACAGGAATGCCAATGTTCCGCTGACATTAAAGACATAGAGGTTCAAGCTGGCTACCTTATAATATGGAAGGTCGGACAGGGATCTGTTGATGCTGTCCTGTAGTGCACCCCACGTGCTCTGAGTCGACTCAAAACACGACTCATTACACGAAGACAGAGAGGTCCGAGCTGGCTACCTTATAATACGGAAGGTCGGACAGAGATCTGTTGAGGCTGTCCTGTAGAGCACCCCACGTGCTCTCCTTAGATCCGTGCAGCGGTAGAGACACGAGCCAATAAGGCCTCGACATCTGGCGATCCGAGGCAATGGAATGGGATCAGGGAACAGCGATTTGCAGGGAGACGACGAGACGGGTGATCAGAAAGACTGATCAGAGTTTACGAGCCTTCGCGACGGTGGAAGCAAGAAAAGGAACTGGAATGTCTACCCAACGGAGGTCAGGCGATCTCGGCTTTACTGGAAGAATATGAGGATGCTATAGATTTACCTCTGTGCTTTACTCGTACACGACGGAGTTACGGCGGTGAGATGCGAGACGCGGAAGGGCCAACAGAGTAGAAACGCTTATCGCTGTCCTAAAGCGGAATAGACGGCGAGTTTATTTTACAAATACAAATGCTAGCGAATCAAAATGCTGATTCCTCGATATTTGTTTCCTCTAGGAAACGAGCAATGAAACTATGACCATTCACATGAACAATGCTCAGTTTATGTTTCAGAATCAGCAGCAGTTTTGCTTGGGTTCGACGTAGAATCAAAATGCTTTGTTTCGTCTTTTCGCGGTGTTCTGTGTAAATTTGTCCTTGAACGGGGAGGTTGAGAGATGCCACTGGCGGATCACTGTCATCAGCGCAGGCAAGTGCCTGGGCAAGCCTAGGGAATCCCGCGCCACTGCAAAGTTCGTACTTCCGCTAGCCAGCGGCAAAAGTCGGGGGCCTGGCTTGGGATGGGCTGGAGGCGGGAATTGCTGGCAGGCGAGGCACAGGTCTGGCGACAAAGCTGGAAATAGAAAGTTACAGTTAGACCAGCGAAAAAGTGGTTTTCGTCAATCGTCGCAACTCTGTCATCTGGCAACACAACGACACTGTTCGGTAGCACCACCACCACCACCAACCACCTCAAAACCACTGGATTTGACCTGGTCAATCCCACGGTTCATAACTTCCGAATGATCTCGCGATGGCCCTTCAAAGTAGGGATTTACCCCAAAAAATGCATCCCAACCTTTCCGAAACCGATTCCGCCCAACCTAACCCAAAGGTTTTATGTTCAGCTCGGCAACTCCATTATCGGAACCCTAGCTCTCTCCTCCGTCATTCTTTCTTCACGCAACCCAATGAAGCTGGCATCCTCTGGGTACCAGCTTTTCTTGAAGGCCCCCTAGGCTTTTCCTCCGAGTGAGAAGGTAGGCGTCTGCTGAACTGACTGAGTGCGGAAGTGCTGGGTGGGGAGAACAAGTGCCGTGATTCCTGCGGTCTTGATAGCCTGCTTCGTTTCTTTCGCTTCTACCTGCTTCTTTGTCTTCCTGAACCAGCCAGTGGGAAGAGCTGATTCGCAGGTGTAGAAACATGGCGTCCACGTCAGCCTTTAAGTTCCTGAGTCAGCTCCCTGCGCCTAAGAACAAAAGCGTCTACGACGCTTCCTCGGACGCCTGGTTCGCGAATCGCGACAGAGATTCAGATACCGCAGTTGGCGGAGCGGCAGCAGGGGGTAATATTGTCCCTAAACGCCAGATACCTCCTTACGGCAAGAGGCAAGGTTTTGTCCCGCGGCGCGTCGAGGACTTCGGCGATGGCGGCGCGTTCCCGGAGATTCACGTGGCGCAGTATCCGTTGGATATGGGTCGAAAGCAGGAGAAGGTTACCAACAAGGTGCTTCCTGTGACTGTAGACGGGGAAGGCAATATCGCGTACGACGCCATAGTGAAGCTCGGGGAAAATTCGCAGAAGGTGGTGTACGGCCAGCACAAGGATCTAATCCCGAAGATTCAGGACGAGGATCTGGAAGCGCTTCGGGACGAAGAGGATGAGGATGAGATGAAGGAAACCGCGGAGCGCACTAAGGCAGCCATAGATAAGATCGTCACGGCTCGGCTCAGCGCGGCTCAGCCTAAGAACGTCCCCGGTATTTCCAAGACCCCGCAGTATATTAAATATACTCCCGGGATGCAGAATTCGGCCCATAATTCCGGCGCGAAGGAGCGCGTTATCCGCATGGTCGAGATGCCGGTCGATCCGCTGGATCCTCCTAAATTCAAGCATAAGCGCGTTCCGAAAGCGTCCGGCTCGCCGCCGGTCCCGGTGATGCACTCCCCGCCTCGGCCGGTTACTGTGAAGGATCAGCAGGATTGGAAGATCCCTCCTTGCATTTCCAACTGGAAGAATCCCAAGGGGTATACTATTCCGTTGGATAAGCGTCTCGCGGCCGACGGTCGCGGGCTGCAGGAGGTGCAAATTAACGACAATTTCGCGCGCCTGTCCGAGTCGCTATACGTCGCGGAGAATAAGGCGCGCGAGGAGGTCGAGATGCGGTCTAAGATCCAGCGGGAGAGGATGCTTCTGGAGAAGGAGAAGAAAGAGCAGGAGCTCCGCCTGCTGGCTCAAAAGGCGCGCATGGAGCGCGCAGGCGGAGGCACCGGCGGAGGCGGAGGCGGAGCGGCTGGCGGAGGCGCGCTGGTTTCCCGTGAGGCTGCCGCGGCCGGAGCGGAAGGCGGGTACGGGCGGGCGGAAGGGGACGAGCCCCGGCGCGGGGAGACGCGAGAGGAGCGCGAGGAGCGGATGCGGCGGGAGGCGCTGCGGGAGGAGCGGCGCAGGGAGCGGGAGCGGGAGCGGCGGCTTGAGGCGAAGGAAGGCGCGGGCGGAAAGAAGAGCAAGCTCACGCGCGACCGGGACCGCGATATCAGCGAGAAAATGGCTCTTGGGCTGGCGAACGTTGGCGGCGCCGGCGGCGGCGGGGAAATTATGTACGACCAGCGGCTGTTCAACCAGGAGCAGGGTATGGAGTCCGGTTTTGCCGCTGATGACACGTATAATATCTACGACAAGGGGCTGTTTAACCGTGAGGGCGCGAGCGGGCTGTATAAGGTGCGTAAGGGGGTGGATGAGGAGGTGTATGCGGGGAGGGGCGGCGGGGAGGAGGGCGGCGGAGCGGACGCGCTCCTGCGCACGGAGCGGTTCAAGCCGGATAAGGGCTTCGCGGGCGCGGCGGAGCGGGGAGCGGGCGGCGGCGGCGGGGCGCCGCGCGACGGGCCGGTGGAGTTTGAGCGCGATGCGGCGGTTGAGGCGGATCCGTTCGGGTTGGATCAGTTCTTGACGCAGGTGAAGACGGGGAAAAAGGCTCTGGATAAGGTGGGCGCGGGCGGAACCATGCGCGCGAGCGGCGGCGGGGGAAGTTATGAGGCGTACGAGGGGGGGAGCTCGCGGAACCGGGTCGATTTCGAGCGGGGGAGGTGAGGGGAGAGTCGCAGAGGAGGCGGAGGAGGAGTGGGGGTTAGTGTGCGCGTGAGCAGAGGCAGTGGGAGCTACAAGGCGTTCGAGGGGGGAGCTCACGGAACCTTGTGGATTTCGAGCGGATGAGAAAGGCGATATCATATGACGGTGATGGGGGTGGAGGATCTGGCGGGAGGGCTAAGGCAAGGTCAGGGCTGCATTTGAGGCTCCTCAAAAGAGGAGAGGGGTTGGATGAGGAAGGCGATTTGAATCTCATGGGGTGGAGTGAGGCGATGCGTGGCCAGGGCTGTGTCTCAGGGCTCTCTGATCTGATGGCTGTCAGCCTGTCACTCATTATGCTTGATGCATTTTATTTCGAGGCTCTCGTTGAAAGTGTTTGTAGTTTTGACTGCTTTTTCCTGGCTGGCTGTTTGCATGTGGACCTTTCCACAACAGCTTTGGTCCTTATATTTCATTTTCTAAGAATCACAATACACAAACACTTCACTGAAGCCGGGCATATTTCTTGTGCCCTTTTTTAATCAACAATGGGCTCATGCTGGAAAGCCAGGACGTCGAACACAATCCCATAGGCGGTTGAGCTTTCAGCTGATCTCAGGTGGGGGTGGAGTTGAACACATACGTCATCACCCGGATATAAGACAGTGTTGAATAGTAGACAGGGGTTGTCTATTATACGGGTGTCTCTTATAAACAGGCTAGCCTCATTATAAGACACCTATTTGTGTGTACGAGATAAGACATATGTGTCTTATAATCGAAACTGCAATATATTGTAGTGAAAATTGAAGTACCGCGTACATTTTTACCCTTGCGACACGCGAATTCTGCCACGTGCTGACTCACGTACTACCAAATTTGCCTTTGCAAGTATTCTCCATGATGTGGCACCCCGAACAATGGTTGCCGAAGTGGCACCTTCGCAACATCCACACTCATAATGAGAAACTCTTTTCAAGATGTGTGAAAATATTTCTAAGTAGTTTAAAAAAGTTTCCATTTATAAGACTTATAAGACACCCAAAACCTCCCCAAATACAAGATAACCCAAGCATTTTTTTTAGTGTATGAGATAAGACATACCGTATATGTCTTATATCCGGGCGATGACGGTAATGAGGCTGATGTTGAGTCGTCTTGGCAGCAAAGCAAGTCAACAACCCCACACGACAGGCGCCACCTCTTCTGCTCTGCCTTTATCAGCGGGCCACGGGCCACGGCACCTGCCCCAGCAGCCCACACGCTGCCATCTCATCGTCCCCCCGGCTGTGCTGCAGATACGCCTTTCATCCACCTCCCCATGTACGGTACACGTTACAGCTAACGACTCCATGCCACAGCTGCTGCTCTGTCCTCGGTTAGTCTCGGCACCTGTCCCAGCTGCCCACACGCTGCCATCTCATCGTCCCCCCGGCTGTGCCGCAGATACGCTTTTCTGCCCCCTTGCACGAGCTCATGCTGGAAGGCTAGCACGCGGGGGAGTGGGGATGGCTGCAGTGCAGTTCCTGGGTGCGGGTTGAAGACTATCAGGTTGATTTTGCAGGCGATGCCAGCTGTTAGGGTTACCAGCCGACGTGCATCCTCCAAACTGGAAAAGGGAGGGGGGAAGGGGGTGGGTCGGGTGGGGAAAGAACGGAAGTGGAAATTAAAGCATAGGGATTGAAAAAATTCAGGTTGGTCGTGCGTGTGAAGACAGCTTTCAGGGTTACCAGAAGACAAATTTTTGAGTCGACTAAAAAACCAAACCAGAAAAATAAGAAAAATACATACAGCGTACCTACCTGTCGTCGACCCCATCCAGCATCAGGTACTCGATGAGCACACACATGGCTACTGGTACTTGAGCCCACACTGACAAGTACCGGTCGCAAGGGGCACTCATACATACATACCTGTCGCTGACCCCATCCAGCATCAGGTACTCAATGAGCAAACACATGGCTACTGGTACTTGAGCCCACACTGACAAGTACCGGTCGCAAGGGGCACTCATACATACATACCTGTCGCTGACCCCATCCAGCATCAGGCACTTGATGAGCACATGGCACTCGCTTCCCACAACACCATCACATGGTACCTGTCATATCTGTGATACCACAGGCCACTGACTTTTGAGACTTCTCAAAAGACACCATCAACAAGGTACCTGACACGTGTCGTATCTGTGATACCACAGGCCACTGCTGCTGAACGTACCTGTCGTTGAACCCATCTAGCATCAGGTACTCAATGAACACATGGCGCTTCTTAGACTGCTGTTGCAATCGCACATCAATCAAGACCCTAAACAACGACGCACCTGTCCGGTGGGGCACTGAGACGTACCTGTCGTTGACCCCATCCAGCATCAGGTACTCAATGAACACATGGCGCTTGCTAGACTGCTGCTGCAATCGCACATCAATCAAGACCCTAAACAACGACGCACCTGTCCGGTGGGGCACTGAGACGTACCTGTCGTTGACCCCATCCAGCATCAGGTACTCAATGAACACATGGCGCTTGCTAGACTGCTGCTGCAATCGCACATCAATCAAGACCCTAAACAACGACGCACCTGTCCGGTGGGGCACTGAGACGTACCTGTCGTTGACCCCATCCAGCATCAGGTACTCAATGAACACATGGCGCTTGCTAGACTGCTGCGACAATCGCACATCAATCAAGACCCTAAACAACGACGCACCTGTCCGGTGGGGCACTGAGACGTACCTGTCGTTGACCCCATCCAGCATCAGGTATTCAATGAACACATGGCGCTTGCTAGACTGCTGCTGCAATCGCACATCAATCAAGACCCTAAACAACGACGCACCTGTCCGGTGGGGCACTGAGACGTACCTGTCGTTGACCCCATCCAGCATCAGGTATTCAATGAACACATGGCGCTTGCTAGACTGCTGCGGCAATCGCATCCCCTCCTCCCCGTTGCAGCCGTCCCTCATATCACCTCCCCCTTCCGCTCTCCCTGCCGTCTGGCCCGCTGGGGATGGAAAGAGTTCACTCAGGCAGGCGAATAGGCTGCTGAGGTTGTGCTTCTTGTTGATTGGCATGATGCTGCTGCGCACCTGATGTGGAGGTTAGGAGGGTGGGAGAGAGAGACTGATATAGTGGAACAGCAGGCAGGCGAAGAGGGTGCTTAGGTTGTGCTTCTTGTTGATTGGCATTATAGCACTTCGCACCTGGTGGGAGTAGGGCGGTGGGTGGTATGGGAAATGGTTAGGGAAACGTCATTACAGGGGATGGGGCGACGAGAGAGGAGGAGAGGGTGTGGGGGGAGGGACGGGGGTAACACAGAACTCACCTTCACTCCCGAATGCAGCAAGTATGCATCTTGATCAAAGAACCTCGTCCACACCTCGTCCACACCTCGTCGGTGGAGGTGTGCAGGCTGAGGGCGAGGCTGGCATGGGAGTGAGAGCAGAAATGCACCATTTCAGGCACGAGCCCACATGTGGACATGTCACATGGTGGTGCGAGCAGGCGAGCAGCGGGCGCCCAGGAGTGTGAGCGCCACGAGGGGTGCTAGAAGAGGCAGGCAGGCAGGAAACAGGGCGAACCCATGAGGCTGCACATACCTCGTCTGTGGTGGCGTGCAGGCTGAGGGCGAGGCTGGAATCTGAATGGGAGCAGAACTCGTGCATTTCAGGCACGAGCCCACAGGTGGACACGGTGGTGCGAGCAGAGGGTGAGTGAGATATATGTATCGAAATGATGGCAAAAGAACCACACACCTCGTCGGTGGTGGCGTGCAGGCTGAGAGCGAGGCTAGCTTGGGAGTGAGAGCAGAATTACACCATCTCAGGAACCAGCCCACACGTTGACACGGTGGTGCGAGCAGGCGAGCAGTGGGCGCAGGGGATCTATCAGAATGGCACACGAACCACGTACCTCGTCGGTTGTGGCGTGCAGGCTGAGAGCAAGGCTGGCTTGGGAGTACGAGCAGAACTCGCGCATCTCAGGAACCAGCCCACACGTGGACACAGTGGTGCGAGCAGGTGAGCAGGGGGTGGGGTGTGGGAGGCATGGGAGAGAGTGAAGGCACAGGGCTAACCCAGTGAAAGAAGGCTGTACACACCTCGTCAGTGGTGGCGTGCAGGCTGAGAGCGAGGCTGGCGTCTGAGTGCGAGCAGAACTCGTGCATCTCAGGAACCAGCCCACACGTGGAAACGGTGGTGCGAGCTGGTGAGCAGTGGGCGCCTAAAGGATCCAGAAGGGTGTTACATGCTGTTAAGACGGCAGGGAGGTTGTGTAGGGGCTCGCCCATACCCTGAGGAGGGGAAGACAAGCAGTGAGATGCCAACAGAGGTAAATTTAACCCCACACGTGTAACACGGTGGTGCGAGCTGGTGAGCAGTGGGCGCCTGAGGGATCTAAGAGGGTTTTGCAAGCAGTTAGCACCGCTGGGAGGTTGTGAAGAGGCTCGCCCATACCCTGAGGGAGGAGACCAGGGAAGGCAAAGAGAGGGACGACAAAGAGACGAGGAGCAGCAGCAGCTAACCTTCAGGCGAGCAGTGGGAGCAGGCGGCGGAAGAAGGTAAGAGCACCTGTGCACTCGGTGGTGCGAGCAGGCGAGCAGTGGGTGCCCAGAGGGTGGAGGAGGGGCTGACAGCAAGAAAGTAAGACCGCAAAGCAAGACACGCCCACCATAAAGACGAGGTTGCTGCTGACAGGGCCAACTGCATCTGTGAAGAGCCGGCAGATCTCCCCTGCTGTCAGGTTGTGCTGTGCTGTGCGGTTCAGTGTGCGGCTGTGCTGAGCGGTGCTGACTGGGTGACCCACGTCACCCACCCACCATGAAGACAAGGTTCGTAACGGGACCAACTTCCTCTGTGAAGAGGCGGCGAATCCTAACCACCTGATCCGCGATCTCCCCTGCTGTCAAGTTGCGCTGTGCTGAACGGTTCAATGCGGTTCAGTGCGGTACGGACCTGTGCGGTGCTCTGAAGTGTGTTTCTGTGTGGTGCTGTGCGGTGCTCTGCAGTGCTTACATTATGACCCACCGATCATGAAGACAAGGTTCGTGACGGGGCCCACTTCCTCTGTGAAGAGCCGGCGAATCCGAACCACCTGATCCACGATCTCCCCTGCTGTCAGATTGTGCTGTGCAGTGCGGTTCAGTGGGATAACGTGCAAAGTGGTGCTTGGCAGTGCGGTGCTTTGCAGTGCGGGCATCATGACCCACCATGAAGACGAGGTTCGTGACAGGGCCCACTTCCTCTGTGAAGAGACGTCGAATCTGAACCACCTGATCCACGATCTCCCCTGCTGTTAGATTGCGCTGTTGGCCCATCCTGGGAGGCAAACATGGGGGTAGTGAGTTGAAAAGACAAGGGACGAAGGCTTGAGATAAGGCGGGGTGAGTGTCATGGGATGGGAAGGGACGGTCGTGTTGAATATATTTTTGAGGCGCCTCAGAATTTTTGAGACGATTTTTTAGGCGCCTCAAAAATAAGGCGGGGTGAGTGTCTTGGGATGGGAAGGGACGTTCGTGTTGAATCTGAGCCCCACCTCACCTCCCCTGCTGTCTGGTTGCACTGCGAACCCATCTTCGCAGCGAATGAAAGGAATGCCTACTTGGCTGTGAAGCAGAACTGGCATCCCATGGCACAACCCAGCTGCATTGGCACCGATACATACATTCGTACACATGCACATACAAAGGAGATGCTTACTTGGCAGTGAAGCAGAACTGGCACCCCATGGCACAGCCCAGCTGAGTCGACACACACACAGTGTTCCTTCCCCCCTTACTCCTGCTGCTGCTGCTGCTGCTGCTTATGCTGCTCCCATAGGCATACACACCAACCAACGAGCTACATACTTGGCAGTGAAGCAGAACTGGCACCCCATGGCACAGCCCAGCTGAGTCGACACACACACAGTGTTCCTTCCCCCCTTACTCCTCCTGCTGCTGCTGCTGCTCCCATAGGCATACACACCAACCAACGAGCTACTTACTTGGCTGTGAAGCAGAACTGGCACCCCATGGCACAGCCCAGCTGCGTCGACACACACACAGTGTTCCGGCCCCCTTTACTCCTTCTCCTGCTGCTACTGCTGCTTCTGCTGCCCCTGCTGCTCCCGCTAGCCTCAGTGCCATCAGTCCTGCTCATACCACCCCCCTCTGCCTCCTCCTCACTACCACTCCCCTCCTCTTCCTCTTCCTCCACCCCACCCTCTCCTCCTCCCCTCCCCGGCCGGTGGGGAATCAACACCGTCTCAACCACGCCTAGTCGCCGGGGACGGTCAGAAGGAGGCAGGTCAGCATCACGACTCAGCTCAAAGAGCACCTGAGAAGGGCGAGGGGGTGTAAGGGGTGTATGTATGGTTGGGTTGTGAGTGGTTGAATACGGTTCGTGCAAGACAAGGTCTGTCGGTGGGGAATGAGCACTGTTTCCACCACGCGTAGTCTCCTGGGGCGGTCAGATGGAGGCGAGTCAGCATCACGACTCGGCTCAAACTTTGTGGGTCTGTGTAAGTCTATGTGGGTCTGTGCCGCATGGGAGAAGTGCCTCTGCTGTATGTGTGTGTGTGTGTGTGTGTGTGTGCGTGTGTGTGTGTGTGTTTTTGTGTGTGTGTGTGTGTGTGCGTGTGTGTGTGTGTGTGTGTGCGTGTGTGTGTGTGTATGTGTGTATGTGTGTGTGTGTGTGTGTGCGTGTGTGTGTGTGTGTGCGTGTGTGTGTGTGTGTGTGTGTGTGCGTGTGTGTGTATGTGTGTATGTGTGTGTGTGTGTGTGTGTGTGTGCGCACGCTACATTCACTCACCTTCTTTGTGCCGTCAGCTGCCGTTCGAACGGAGTGTAGGCGCAGGGAGGAGAAGCGAGCACCCGAGGAGGCGAGGAGGGAGAGGAACGAACGACTGACCCCTGCAGGCAAGCAGGTTTCGGGATTCAGGATATTGGGCGATGGTTTTTGAGGAAGGATAGTCATTCATAACGTTTGTGAGAGTTCCTGAACATCCTCAGTGTCGACTTTTGAGTCGACTCAAAAATCGACTCATCACACGAAGAGTTCCTAAACATCCTCACAGTGGTAGCCTCTTGCAGAGTAGAGAAAGATTCTAACCACAGCGGCTTGCTCTTGCCGTGAGGAACTCTTGCCGTGAGGAACTCTTGCCCTGAGGAACTCTTGCCGTGAGGAACTCTTGCCGTATGTGTCTTGAAGTCTCAAAAGAGAGGAATGGAAGGAGAATGGGTTAGGAAAGTAAGTGTCAGCAGCTATTGCAATCACATCGTCAGCCTGATCAGCCACGTCATCACCTGCACCTGACACGTCATCAACCTCACCTGCCATGTCATCAGTGCTCTCAGCCCAGTGTGCATCTCGATACAGCCACTTCCAGAGGACTTTCGCCCGCCTCCTGTGCTCCTCCCCGCACTCTGCTGCCACCCAATCCTGCAATATAGTCACAATACGCACAATCGCAATCCACACCCGTTAGAAGATATTCTCGCGAATCCAGGCCCAACCCAGCCACCCCTGTCCACTCCCTTTTGTCCCTAATTCAGCAGGAATTTCTAAGAAAATCTCAAAATTCTCCCCGCACCCCTGCTCAAAGAAGTGTATCGGTCTCACCTCTAGTTGCTGGAAGCTCATGTCTTTAAGATACACGGGTGCGCGGTCTAAAGCTCGTTCTGGTGGCGGCTCGGCTTCTGCTGGTAGAGGAGCGCTCGTTGCAGCCGTCCCAGTTCCTGATTGGCTCCTCGCTAACACGCTTCGCAGAGCCTGGTCGTAGAAACCTCCAGGCGACGGGTTACCGTGCGACGAACCTCTATGCGAAAGGATGTGCGACAATTCCCTGTGCGACACGCTTCTGTGAGACAATCGGCTGTGCGACGAACTCCTGATCGAGGCATTACCAGACGGAATTTGACAGAAAAGCTGGCTCGACGCATTTTTACGGCTCGTTTGATTGCCAAAGCGGGTGATATCGAAGCTGCTGGAAACGCGGCCCGACAACTGACCGCGCCACACGTAATTAATGACCATTCTGGAGCTTATGCAGGTCCAGGGGGGAAGAGCAGCGATCGCCATACAAGCCTTGAGAAACGGCCAAACCAATGTGATATGTACAGTGTGTCCCAACACACATGTGATGTTGTAAGGAATTTTCTCGCTATTCCTTACTGTGACCGCCAACTTCGCGCACACTGTTTCACCAAACCTCGTACTGCTGGAGCAGCCGATCGCTTCGGGACTAGCCCGAACCTCGCGCCAGCGTAGCACTAGCTAGCTCGCACGCACCGCGTTACCGTTTGCATGTTTCGCGTATAAGTATTCGCTCATACTTTGTACTGATTGAACACTCTAGTGCAATCCTCGCTACCTCTATTCATTGCACCCGTAACACTTGGTATTCAGAGCCACTTTCCTTTTCGGACCGCGCATCTCCGCACCCCAGGAAATCAACTTCTGTTTTTTTTTCACTCAAAGGGACTCACGCCCCTTAGCACCTAGGAGCCGCTGTCCTCGCGTTCTCTCGTAAACGCATGCAGCCACGACTGCGCCTAGACTAAGCCAAGCCGACGCCCTTCGGCATGGCCGAACACATTGACGGCACAAGCCTCACGCAGGAGCGTCTGAACGAACTGCTGCAGCAACTTCGCGAAAGCTCTGAAGAAATCGTGGCGCTGACGGCGAAACACACATCCCTGCAGAATGACGTTGCACGAGCACAGCAAGCACAATCACAAGCACCTGGCACTCCAGGACAACATGCACCACAAGCATCGCAGCACGGAAGTGTGGGGCAACCCGCGAGCGCGGCCAGTGATGGCGTCGTCCGCAACGACGGAGACGACGACCACGGCACGACGCACCCCAACGCGACGAAAGCGGCTAGGAATCAACCTTGCGTCACGACTTCTGTGCCAGCCGGCGAATCAACACTGTTGTCGCCGATGCCGCTGAAGCCGCATTGTCCGCCATGCTTTGACCCGAGTCAACGGGGTGGTCCTACCGTTCAGGCGTGGTTGTTTACGTTGAACGTTTTCTTCGACGCCAACTACGTCTTGGAGGATACAGCGAAAATCCGCTACGCCATGTCGCTGCTGCGAGGACCTGCCATGGATCGGTGGCGTGTCATCGTCATGAAGCCGATGGAATACGCGACTCTACCGAGACGGGAAGGACAAACCGGACCCTGGGCGCCGTCGTATTTCGTGGAGGTGCCCCAATATCGCACGTGGGACGCGTGGTGTGCAGGTCTGCGAGCCAGATTTGAGCCAATTGTGGCTTTGATCTGTCAAACTTATATATGCTATAGTCTGTTTAGGCTGTAGTGGGGTAGTTCTTAGAGGGTACAACACTTTTGTGCTTTCTACTTGTACCCATCTCCTTTCTAGTTTCACTCATTCCTCTCTCGTTATTCTCACATGGTATAGAGCTGGTTCGAGTTTTTTTAGGGCCCACCACTACAATTTTTTTTTTCCTTACCTGCCCGAGGCGCGTGTCGCGTTTGTCCTAGCAGCGCCCTCGCGCCCGCCCTTCGAGGCCCTTAGTGGCCCGTCGCTGCCCCTTCGCGGCCCTTAGCGGCCCCTCTTAAGGCCTTTCGCGGCCCCCTGTAGCGACCCGTCGCGGCCCCCCCCTTTAGCGACCCGTCGCGGCCCGTCGCGGCCCCCCTTTATCGACCCGTCGCGGCCCTTCGCGGCCCCGTCTCGGCCCTTCGCGGCCCTTTTCGCGACCCGTCGCGGCCCCTAGCGGCCCTTCGCGGCTCCTCTGACGGCCCGTCGCGGCCCAGTCACGGCCCTTTGCGGCCCCCTTTAAAGGCCCTTCGCGGCCCCTCTGACGGCCCGTCGCGGCCCCTCTGACGGCCTGTCGCGGCCCCTCTGCCGGCCTGTCGCGGCCCAGTCGCGGCCCTTCGCGACCCCCCCCCTTAACGGCCCTTCGCGGCCCCTCTGACGGCCCGTCGCGGCCCCTTCTCGGCCCCTTTTCCGGCCCCAACTGGCGCGCCCCCGGCCGCCTCCTGCCGACGAGCCCCTGCCGGCCCCAACTGACGCGCCCCAGCTGGCGCGCCCCCGGAAGGCTCCTGCTGACGAGCCCCTGCCGGCCCCAACTGGCGCGGCCCCTCCTGGCGCGCCTCTGCCGGCCCCTACCGGACCCTGCTGACGAGCCCCTGCCGACCCCTGCTGGCGCGGCCCCTGCAGTCACTGCCCGCCCCTGCACCTGTCTCTGGTAAGCCGAGCCGCGCCACCTAGCCGAGCCGCGCCGCTGCTGCTACTACTGCACTGCTGCTACTGCTGCTACTGCTGCTACTGCTGCACTGCTGCTACTGCTGCTACTGCTGCTCCTCTTCCTACTGCTTCTACTGCTGCTATGGCTAGTCCTACAGTTCTCACCTTTGACTCTGAGGGACGTGCAGTTGACTTTGACGTATGGGTTGATGACCTACAACTCTTTCTTCAGTGTGATTCTAGGGATGGGGTATCCCTTTTCGATCACACGTCCGGTGTTTCCACTGCTCCTACTGCCACTGCTGACAGTACTGTTCGCTCGCAGTGGACCACTCGTGACGCTGTTGCTCGTCTTGCTGTTCGTAGTCACCTGCCACCTGCTGAGCGCGCACACTTTGGCCAGTACAAGACTGCTCAGTCTTTGTACGACGCTGTAGTTGCACGCTACTCCTCCCCTGCCACTGCTGCCCTCAGTCGCCTCATGCTGCCGTACCTTTTCCCTGACCTTGCCGCCTTTGCCACAGTCGCTGACCTAGTTTCTCACCTTCGCACTAGTGACGCCCGCTACCGCGCTGCCCTTCCCACTGAGTTCTGTGCCAAGAACCCCCCCCCCATGTACATCACCCTTTACTACCTAGTCACCCGCCTCCCTGACTCTCTCTCTTCAGTCAGGGACCAATTTCTCTCCCTTTGCCCCACCGAGCTGACCGTCGACCTGCTAGAGGAGCGCCTTGCTGCAGCTGAGAAGAGTATCTTAGCTGTAGGTGCTTCTCGCGGCGACCGTCGCACCCCCTTCTTTGAGGGGTGTTCCCCTGTCCCCCTTCTCCCCTCTGTTGCTTCTGCTGCTGCTGTCGACCTCGTTGGCACTGAGGAGGTCGGAGCTGCGTCTGCCCCTAGTGGGAGACGCCGCAACAGCAAGGGCAAGGGGAGCAAGGGCGGTGGAGGGGGTGGCGGGGGTGGCGGCGGAGGCGGTGGAGGAGGCGGAGCGGGTGGCGGTGGAGGTGGGGGTGGTACCGGGAGTGGGGGCTTCAGTGGCGGCGGTGGAGGTCGTGGCGTCGGTGGCGGAGGTGGTGGAGGCAGCGGCAGCGGTGGTGGAGGTGGAGGCGGCGGTGGTGCTGGTCGAGGTGCAGCCGCGCAGCGTGGAGGCTTTGGTGGCAGCCAGCGCCAGCAGCAGCTGCGCACCCGTGAGACCCCGTCGGTTCAGCAGCTTCGTGAGTGGTACGCTGGGCGTGGGAGGTCTGGGAGTGCAGGTCCCTGCACTTACGTTCTTCACACCGGCACTCGTAGTGGGGAGGTGTGTGGGCTCCCACACACCACGCAGCGCTGCTTCGGTCGCTTGACTGACGCTTGGCGTACCCAGTTTCCTGACGCTGTTGAGCTCCCTCGCTGGCATGATCTGCTTCTGCAGAATGTGCCTATCTTTGATCTAGATTTTGATGCTATCCTTGCTGCCATGTATGCTCTTGCTGATATTACTGAGGGTGACTGTTACCTGAGTGTCCCGCCCGACCCGGGCACTGCGGCTGCTGCTCTAGGTGCTAGTGCGGCTGCTGCTCTAGGTGCTAGTGCGTCTGCTGCTCCAGGTACTTGTGCGTCTGCTGCTCCAGGTGCTGGTACGTCTACTCTCTCTGGTACTGCACCTACTGAGTCCTTGCACACTTTCACACTTGACTCTGGTGCTTCGCGCTCTTTCTTTAGAGACAGCACCACGCTCATGCCGCTCAGTCGGCCTATTGCGGTCTACCTTGCTGACCCCTCAGGGGGCCCAGTCCTTGCACACTCCTCTACAGTTTTACCGTGTCCTGCGGCCTCGTCGGGCTTGCTGTCGGGACTCCACCTCCCCTCGTTCTCTACGAACTTGGTGAGTGGAGCTGACCTCCAGGACGCGTGGGTTGACCAGTTCACCCCTGGAGGTCAGCGTGTGACCCACTGCACTTGCTCTCGGACGGGTCGCCACCTGGCCACGTTCACCCGTCTGCCAGGGTCGAGTCTGTACACACTGACTACTGCACCTCCTCCGGTCCCTGCGTCTGGTCAGGTAGCTGCGTCTAGTCAGGTGTTTGCTGCCGCGTCCAGGTCTAGTCCTGCGTCTGCCCCCTGCTCGTGTCGTCCTCTGACGCACGAGACTCTCCTTTGGCACGACCGCCTTGGTCACCCCTCCCTACCTCGTCTTCGAGGTATGGCCTCCCGTGCTCTTGTCTTTGGACTCCCCAGGTCCCTCCCTCCCCTTTTTCGGGGCCTGCCCCCACCTGTGTTCCTTGTGTCGAGGGCCGGCAGCGCGCCGCTCCCCACTCCTCCTCGTTTCCTCTGACTGAGGCCCCTCTGCAGACTCTTCACATGGACGTGTGGGGCCCAGCCCGCGTCCGTGGACAGGGTCACGAGCGTTACTTCCTGCTGGTCGTTGACGACTACTCGCGTTACACC